ATCTGCATCTGACTGCTGCTGCCTGGGCACAGCGTGGCCAGCCTTCACTCCCCATATTCCAGGCCCAACAGATGCAGGACCAGCTCCCATATTGCAGGAAGGGGCTTCAGCAAGGCCAGGGCACAAGTAAGGATGGGTTGTCTGCAGCCTGCTGGGAGCGTCCAGGACAAGGAAGGACAAGAGAGGAAGGCTGTTTCCTAGGTGGCAACACATACACCTGTGAGAAGGAGGGCACAGCAGACCCTTTAAATGAGACAGGAGGTTATTGACCTTGAAGGAGCCAGCTGGTGCATGGCACCCAACACACTGATGCCCACACAGCAGAAATCCAGGCTCAGGCAGGAACTAAGGGAAACCTGTTGTGGATATGACCTGAGCTGAGGATGTTTGCACCCTCCCTGTGTGTTGTCTTGCAGCTCAGTGGAGGTGCGTCTCACAAGGCATCCTGTCTCAGGTCCTCTCCCCTCTCCCTGCAATCTCCATAGGGGTCTGACCTCCCTTAGAGGCTTGGACTGCTCAGGCAACTCAGGAGGGCTCCTCCTCCTCCTCCTCCTCTTCTCCCTCCTTGCTTCATCTGCTGTGCTGTTCATTAACTGCCCATGCACTGGCCTGGTAGCAGCTACCTAGCAGGCATCCCAGGGCCAATAAGCCCTGACTTGGCTACCGAGAGCCTGCCCCAGCAGCAAGCCTCATCCTAGCATGCTGGACATGCTCCAGAGACAGCTCTGCCTTCCTCCTGCAGATCCTGGCTCTCTGGAGCAGGATGGGTCCAGGCTGATGGCAAGCCATGGCAGGGAGGAGCCCCTGCTCTTCATGTTTGAAGCACAATGAAAAAGGAAAAGGCAGAGCCAGGGACCTCGTTCTTCCTGAGAACAACGCTGCCAGTGCCCAAGGAAAACTTTGGCACCATCCATCAGTCCCTTGCCAGGTGAGAAGTACACTGGGGCCAACAGCTACAGGCAGCAAAAGGGAAGCCATGCCCCAGCAGAGACAACGCAGCGTTTTGGCAGCCTTGCTGTCCTGGCTGACCCAGAACAAGGTGCTAAGCCACCTTGTGAGAGCTCAGTGCAGAGCACAAGGTAACTTTGCAGCCAGTCACCAGCACACCTTTCTGTTGTCTCTCCTCCATTCTGCCCTGCCATTTACCCAGGGATCCTGGAGACCTTCACCTCTCTGCCCAGCTTCGGTGAGGATTGTGGCCCACTGGTTTAGAGACCCTGAGGAGAGGAAGAGGGAGACTAGCAGTGTGAGAACCCTTTCTTTGTTCCTTAAGATAACCAGACTAGAAAGAGGTCAGACTCCCCCTCTGCCTTACAGCATTCGCCAGGGGCTTATTTCCAAGGTCTTCTCTGCAACCATAAAGATTAGAAATCTACGTTTTCAGTGAAAGCTGACATTCTTCCAAGTTTCCAGGAAAAAAGTAAACTCAAACAAATACATAAGAGCTGTTAACAGTGGCCTCTTGCTCTTTATTTTGAAGGAAGCTTGAAATCCAGCTCTGCAGGTTGTCTCTTGTGCTCTACTTTGGGAAACACTTTGCAGCCAAAACGCTTGAAGAGAGCTAACACTCTCATTAAGTGCAAGCCAATGGGGTGCTGGAGCTAACAGCTTTCCCTGCCATCAGGAACAGAGGTCCCAGTTTGCTCCACAGACATTTGCAACCTTTGCAAAAAGCTGCCATGAGAAAGGCTCCCAGACCCAGCTCTTACCTGAGACAGTGGGTGGGCAGTGCTGCTGTGCTGCGCCTGGTCTGTGATGTGCCACTCAGGACATCGTGGGAGGACATAGGGCCATTCCTGCATCACCAGGGGCTGCATCAGAACCGATGTTCATGGGGATGGAGACAACTCTGGGCACAAGCACCTGAAAAGCAGTGTGAGAGTCCCTGGGTCAGCTTGCACCTCCTCATGGAGCTGACCCCCTTCCCAGCTGTCTTCACAAAGGCTGAAGACTAAAAGGATGCTTTTTTTTTTTTTTTTAATAGGTTTGTACTAATGTTGCAATCTTTTTAATCTAATTTTCCAATTCTTTTTTGTATCTAGTTATATAATTTCCTGTAATGATATTCTGTGTTAGTGAGTCCCACAGATTATGTTGCATTTTTAAAAAGGACTGGATTTTTTGAACTACAGGAGATGCCCAGGGTTTAAAGGAAGAGGGTAGAGAGGAGCTCACTATCACAACCACTTATGTTTAGACATAATAGACATATACACATAACAGACAATATTTTCAAACACATTATTTTTTCCTTTTATGTTCAAAAGGAGAATTGTCTAGAGCCTCAGTCCCCCATACACGCATCTCACACTATCAGCTACCTTTTTATGAGTTTTTCTCATTATTAGTTCTAAAAATCCCTTTTTTATTCTGTTTTTAAAACTGTATGACCCTTAAAGCCAGGTAGCAGTGGCCCCTTGTCTATTCTACAGATCTGAAATGCAACCTGCTGCTTTTTTTGTTCTTTGGACTCTGAATAGGCTAAAATAGTGATTTATCCCACTGCCAGCATTATCTCAGCTTTACAGAAAACAATGAGAAAATGAAGCCCAGAGAAAAGAGTGCAAAGTAATATTTACCTGAATCTGGCAAATTTCTAGAACTGAAATGTACAACTGTACATTTGGCCAGTGGCAGTGCCATGAAAGGAGCCGTGTTCACAGCAGGATGGAGACCTAACATACAAAAGCTGGGAACACCATGCAGGGCTTTGCCCAGGCTCGACTCAACACATCTGACGTCAGATGAGAACATCAAGAGTGATGCTTGAATACTGTCAAGAGGCAGTGCTGAGGGACTGTGCTGTCTCCTGTCCAACCCACTGCCTAACTTGGTGATTGCTTTCCTACTTCTAGAAGGAAAATATCACCTGGCTCCAGCAGTCTGAGCGGAGATGGGGCTGCTTCCAAGGTACAGATGGAGCAACACTGCTGGAAGAAGGTCGTTGCCTCCTTCACACGCAGCTCACTTGGACCGGCTGAGAAACTTCTTGCATGGTCCTGGCAGGGCAGGAGCAGGTAGTGCATCCTGCACAGCCAGCAATCACGGTGGACAGCCAGGAGAGGAGAAAGCCCCCAGGCCCTGGTACATGCTGCCCATCTCTCATGCTTTCACATCCCTCACTCCCCTGCCTGAGCTTTCACTGCCTCTCCCCCCTCCATTACACGCATTAAGAGAACAGCTTATCCTGTTATGATTTTTTTAATACCTTAGCAATTTCTACAGCCATAATTCTCTCCCTCTCCAGTAGAACAGCCTGTGCTGAGCTCTCCAACATGCCAATAATCCAAGGTCCTGTCCTCTATCCCTCCTGCCCATTTGCACAAATGAACATCGCAGTCTGTGCATCGCAGCGCTCTCACCCTGCTCCTTTCCCCATGCAGGCAACATTATCAGGACACATCAATAGTTATAAATTCCAGGGTCTTCAAAGCCCCCCAGCCTTGTGAGGCAAATTCACCTCATGCAACTTCAAGGGTGCAGTGGATGATTTCTGTCTTTGACAGCAGGTAATACCATATCCTATTCCTACAATGCTTGTGCTATTAGGGGTCTAAGCTGTCCCTGATCCTCTAAATGACCTCTAGATGAGGCTCAATCTAGCAGAGATACAATCTCAGGGCATGAAAAGTTGTTTTGCTTCAAAGCGTCCATCAGAGGAATGCCATTGAGCTCTACTGCATGACTGGGAAATCCATGGCTTTTGCCGATGAGGTTCTGTGACATCTCATTGCAGCTGCCATCCTGAGGCCTCAGTTTTTCTGCAGCACAGTGCAATGTAATTGCAGTGATGTGTGCTGGCCAGGCAGGTTCAGCCAGCCCTCCAACATCACCTGCAGGGGCTCTCCCCAGTCGTCCCAGCACAGTGTGGTCTCTTGTTCCTTCCACCAGTGCTGCAGAATGGGACCAATACTGGGAAGGTCACTAGCTCTGATCTTACTGCATTTTGCTCAAGGATAAGTCTCCACACACAGGGCAGATGCAGTTCTGGAGACATGGGTAAACCATGTTCTATGGGTATCCATGTGTAGGACATGGTGAGTCTTCATGCCCTCTGCCAGCATTACGGCAGTAAGAACAGCCCTTGCCTTACCTCCTGAGTGCCAGGGTTCTGAACTCCTTCAGCGATGACAGGGTCCATCAGGACACAGAGCCATGGCACAGGGGAACTAAAGCCTGTCCGAGGCAGCAGTCAAAGAACAAGACCAAGCTGGAAAACTAAGTGCTAGCAAAGGCCACTACCTCAAGCATGTCCTGTGCAATACCTTGCTGACACAGACACCTTATTGCAGGTTTGATGGCAATGGTTCAGCTGCTCTTTGCCACTCTGCAATAGCAAAGACAAAGTCCAGATGTGGAGAATCCAAGATAATGTGGAAATAACTCAGCTGCATGGCAGACAGCACAAAGGAGGACATCCAGTGGGAGAGAGAGACAACCAGACAGTGAGGCATGACTGCAAGCAAACCAACAGCTACATATGATCCCTTGCCAAATTCCCTGCTATTACAGGAACCAGACAAGGAGAAATGCTCTTGGTCTGCTCTGCTCCTCTGTTGTGGCAGACAAAATAGCTCCAGCTCTTGCAATTTTATTTTAGTGCTTCAATACAGCACTGTGTCTGGGCACTACAGCATGTGGAGTAGATGTTTTGTGGATGCTTCCTGGTGAAATGTCTATTGCCTACTGCCTACACCTGTCAAGAGCCAAACCTGTGATCCACCTTGTCTCTCCCACACCAGCGTTCACCCTCTGCACTCTGCTCTAGGTTGGTGCTGGAGACCCAGGTGCTACTGCCAAGGAACAACATAAATCAAAAAAGATTTAAGTGTTGACAACTAAAACTACCATCCCTGCAGCCTACTACAAGCCCTTACTTGAAAAAGAGTTGAAAAATCCTCCTTTGGTTGACTCAGGGAGCAATGTGGTTAGGCAGTCCAACCAGGTTTAAAATGAGGGTGATCACCTGGGCACATTTCTGTGCAAGAAGGAAAAACTTCAGGGCCCATGTGAGCAGACACAGGTGAGAGTTTCCACAGGAAGACATTGTGAGAAGCAGACTTACAGTCACCACGGAGCAGTCACTGGGACACTGTACCCATACAGTGGAGAGAACAAGGAGTGAAACCTTTCCCACTGGTGTGTCTCACTTGGTCTTTGTTGGAAGTCCCCAGTCTAGGCCCAAAGGCAATCAGACCCTTCCTCAGAAGGATCAGGTACAACCTCGTTACATGATGCTGGTTTGCATCCTCCCACATGAAAAGCACCCAACACTTGCCTCTGCTCTTAGCACACCTTAAGAAATGGAGCGTTAGACATTTCGCATTGCTGTATTACAGCTTCCAAACACTTTAGTAACCAGGCCACAACTGTTGAGCCTAGCTGGAGACCATGATGATCCTCTAGTTGAAAAAAAAGAAAGCCAAAAATCTTGATGTTACCTTTCAACAGTTGAATGCTTGGGCATTAGGGTGTATTCAGAACAAAGTAGTTGCCTTTTTCCTCTTCCTACCTGAGCTGAACCTGTTACAAGTTCAGCACTGGAGACCCTGGCTCACTGCACTGTTTTCCATGTGGTCTGATAAAGGCAGCTGGAATGGCCTTTGCTCAACCAGTTCTGCTTCAGCTCTACCACACAACTTACTGCTCTGCTCAATGATTGCTGCACTCTTCCGACTCACAGATCCACTGCAGCAGCAACACTGGCTGGCCGGAGAGGCAGCACTTGGATGGACAGACTGTGCCCCATCTCCCGCAGCATCTCTTCTCATCCCAGCCAACAGTAAGACGACAGCTTGCCACTAGTGCACATGCTGCACAGTGTATTTCTGCCATTTTGCTGCATTTGTTTAAAATCCTCCTGATACAAACCCAGATCCAAACTCTCCCAAACATCAAGGGAATTCACAGTGCAGCTAACCTGCATTGCTAAAGGTAACCTCCAGTATTAGGGACCTGCTGTGGAAGCTACAGCCCAGTGTAGGATGTTGAATTTCCATCTCTCTACTGCATGTAACAGCAGCAAATACAGCATATAGGTCAAGAGGTCTCTAGATCACAAGGCTTATGCTTTGAATTGCTAATTTCCTCCAAAATGTTCTTCCCAGGCTGAAACTTTCCACTTCAGATCTTGGCCTATAAGGAAAAAATATGGCAACATTTTGAGGCAAGGCAGCTCAGCCTTTATCCCATGAGAGGAATGGAAACATAAACATGTTCCCTGCTGCTGGAAATGTTAATGACTTTGTTGTTGTTTAACTTACTGTACAAGAGAAGTAATAACATTTTAGCTCAGCATGCTCAGTGTCCTTTAAGGGGAAAGGTGGGAGGCTTGTGGATATTTCAAAGTTCAGCTCCCATGTAGATGCTAACAAAGGGAGCATTCCCAAGCTGGCAGACAGCAGGACTCCCTCAACAGTGCAATAGTATATCCTGTTCCAGCAAAAACTGGTTTCTGCACATGTAAGTAAATAGTTTAAGCCTGAGATTGAGAGCCAGCAGGCCTACTTCCCAAGACCCTACTGGGTCAGGGTTTGGTGAGAGAGAAGGAAGAGAAGTCTTTGTCCCACTGGGACCAAGCATACAAACAACACAACTCCCTCTTAGAGCATGGGTCCTTATTCTCCATCTCTTTACAAACCAGGTATAGACACCCAGACACACTCCTTCAAAAAAATCACGCCAACAGTCTCCTGGTTCTCAGTTGCTCCTGTGTACAAGGAAAGGGGAAAGGGACCATCAACAATCTTCCACATGAGCAGGCATTTACAACCCCATCATCCAAGGGCTAAAAAACCCAGATGCCAAAGCTGCAGCT